TCACCACACTTGCTTAATCAAAAATTTAAAAATCTATCGTCTATCATCTGATCATCTGGCTTGTGAATCACATTGACTAGTGGACTTGACATTTAAAAATTTAAAAACAATTCAGATATATTCCATATTGATTATAATTTTATTTAATTATAATTAAAAGAGTTATTCTAAAGAAAAAAAAAATACTTTTATATGAAAAGTTATAGATACGTGGTTTATATATTATCATAGTGTAATTAATTTTGTATTTTTCAATACCCTTTTAATTTTGATTAGAAATTTGTCACGGAAACAACTTTTACATTCAAATAAATACAAGAGTTGTATTATAAAAAACAATTATTTTTCTCTTTATTATTATTTTTATTAACTATTATATTTATGCATAAAAACGTTTTGTGAATTACGAACGTACTTGATAACATCTGATTATGTTTACATTTAATTTAATAACATATTAGATACGAGTCTGTAAATATAACTCATACCTAAAATACTGAAATACTGATTTCTAATATTTAATTTGTTTAATTACATAGAACACTTTTTCGATAATACAAAGAAGAACAATCAAATTTTTAGATTATCGTATAATAATTTTATAAAAAAAAGTATATTGCATATTTTAAAACTATTATTATACTATATATTCATATTTTAATCATTTTTGTAATTTACGATTAAGGTTTTTCACAATAAATAAATAGATAATTTGTTCAATAATCAGTATTACAGATTAATAACACATAAATTACGGAAAAATGCAGAAAGATATTTAATTTCATTGAATTTTAAATTTACGCTTTCAAGTTTTAGAATAAACTGTGTTACAGCAGCATACAAATGTATAACTAAATTTTCTAAGTGATGAAACGAAAATTCGTTGAATCCGTTGGTCAATCTCTGTGTCCGTGAATGCTTACGACTCAAAATATCTTATGTCCTATAAATAACGTTTAGCTGTCGCGAGTCAAATTTTGAGATACCAAATCGGAATGCCAAAAAACGTTCTACTTATGGTAATCGGTATTAGTATTAGTGATCTTAGTGCAAATAACGAAATGTTATTGAAGACGTTTTATTGCAGTAATTCGACATACGGTCGACGAACATTCGTTTACCGATAAGTTACCTATGGTTGAGAATTTCTCGGAGTGGCGCCATAACAATAAAAAATATTTCAGGTACACGAATAAATAAAAGGCAGTTCGAAAATATGGATGCAACGTATCAGCTGATGTACACTAACTGCAAATGCTTTTGTGAGATTCGGATAATAATTTACACTCAAAATACGGGAATATAGCACGGCAATGCATAGAAAACTAACGTATACATTGCACAGTTCATATAATATTTAAATTCCGCGCGGATACCTCCGGTGTATTTCGATCGTATGCATATTTAAAACAAACTGTGTAAGAGAGACCGATTTCGTCAACCGAGAATCGTTAACATTAAAAATTAATTGATTCTATTAATGTTAAAATGTTTTATTTTAAAATTAATTATTCGCTCCGAAAGTTAATCCCGTAGCGTCATCACTGCACGTTTATACTGTATTGCTGTTAAACCTCTCAGAAGCGGACTACCATTTCGAGTCTTGTCACAAATACGCGCGCGATTGGCGAACCTTCAGTACGACTATAACGTGGTATGATTTATTATTTTTTAAAGTTTATTCGCAAGTTTAATCGTTTGATTTTCGAACCCGATGTTAATCAAATGCGATTAACATACTGGTACTAATACTGTGTACATATATCATATTTATAATATTATACTTTATTGGGTTATCTTAAAATGGAAAAAAATTAATATAAAGTATGCAAAGTTATCAAATGTTGACGATATCCTATTATAACATCATGTTTACACGGCAAATGGATAAATATTTATAAATTTTTCGTTATTTGTGAAAGTACTTTTTTTTTCTTTTTTTTTTTTTTTTTTAGCGTTGTAGCCGAATTAATTAAACGCCATTTCTCGTGCACTCTAAGCGTATTTTTATACGTTAAATGTGCATAAAATACGCAATGATTTTTATAAAATTTCACGTTTTCTAGTGTTAAAACATTATTGGGGTATACGATTAATTGAAAATTTGATGCTTACATGGATAATAATGAACATGTATAATATTATATGGGGTAAGTTTTATTTTTGAACATTATTTTATTCCAAAAATAGGCACTTCTCAATATCGAGAACTGTTCGCAAACACTCACTTAGGTGTCTATAGAATTTAAAAGTTTCATTGTGATTATTTATTCATTTTTCCACATGGACAAATTATCTCTGCTAGTTCATGTAAAAATCATCGACGGACTTTAATACGGATCGGCTCCTAATGCTACAACATTACGCACGTAAATTGAATTTTGTTGTATTTTTAATTTTTCAACATTTTACCAAGTCAAAATTCAAAAATTATTCTGATCTTGTTTTCAATTTCTCTCTCTCACACTTTCACTGTTATTCGACTACTATTCTTACAATAAACAACGAGCGTCGCTGCACTAGTAGTTTGTTTTGAATTTTAGTTGAATTACGAAAGTTCACTACGCCAAACAGTCGCAATTAGTCATCAAAACGACCGCTTCCGTGACGAGCTATTCTTTTCGTTTCATCCCCGTGGCCGTCCAATTAGAATTTTAGAATAAAAGCAACTAATAGATATCTACATTATGAATGTTGATTTTTTTGTACCGAAAACCTTATTAAGATGTGCGTATAAATTTAAAATTCATTTATAGTCTAGTGGCCAAACCAACACGGACAGTGTACATAAAGTTTTCGTGCAATTAGATAACTTCGGGACTTTTGTAAATGCACGTATCTACCCGTGAAATGACATAACTACTATTCTTGGGCAATTGTCGAAATAACAAATTCACCGAACTCGCCCACTGCCGTATAATTAGGTTATAACACGCACATATTATATGGATGGTAAAAGCCTGTTCGAATGAGTTAAAAACACAAAACATTAAAACAACCGACAAACCGAAAATATTGATGTATATTAGTCAATATCGTTATATGTCCTATCAAAGGAAATCGTTAAGGTTTTTTTATTTTATTTTTTTTTCACCATTGTAACATAGTAACAGCATATTATTCGGTTATACTTATCGGGAAAACGTTGAATAAGGTACTGTATTATCATAAGATATTAAACTGACATAATATTTTTAATAACTAATTGCGGTTTAAAAATATAACTTTTAAATTCTTCGGAAAATTGTTTGAAGAATTAAATATAACCATATAACGTTATTTATTAATTTAATAATTCTAATAATAATTGTAATAACAACTTGATTTTGTTTAAATTTACTGAGGATAAATGAATAGGTGTAAACGGTTTTCCTAACAACCAGATCTGCAAGAAAATTGAGAGTACTAATATTGAATTTCACATATTAATATTAAAAATTCCAAAAACCGTCGGTGAATTCTTTCGATATTGAACCCTTAGTTTTTAATAAAAATAAAAAAAACGATATTTTACAATCAATCTTTTCTCAGCGATGTTTTATTAACAATATTTTCGAAGCACATAAATAATATGCAAACATAATCAAAGAATGAACGCGTTTAATTTTAATTTTGTTATGAAAAATAAATTGCTCATGAAATTTAAAGTATTCTCTTTCTCTATTTATTATTACTTAAAACTCCATAATTGGTAATCGTCAGAAATTGAGAATAATTTTGTCAACTGTATTTAAGTATAGAATTCAGAAGTTTTAACTCGCAATAATTTTACAAATTATAATACCGTTTTCAATAATAAGTAATACAACGAAATTATCACATTAATTTTATGATTTAAATACAATTATAGGGCTACTTTTATTTTTAATAAATGTTCTTCATTTTTATCGTTTAAATGGCATATAATTATTATGATATTGGCATAACTATATTTCCATTTATAATGGATAAATTATTTAGTAAGCATATAGTGATAATAATTAAATCAAGCAGATTTATATTGGAACACGATGTTGTACTCACATTCTAAATATTGGATATATTTTATGAGAATAAAGAAATACACGACTAGTTAACTACTATTACTGTTATTCGAATACTCTGTTGACATAACCTTATTGTACAGTGTGAATTTATTTAGTACTAAACGAATCGCATATCGTTGAAATAAACCGACCAAACGTTTTTCCACTCGAAATATTTTTTATACTTGTAATTGATTTCAAATTGTTCATCGTTCAGTAGAATTTAATGGTATAATATAAATTCGATCGTTTCAAGTCGAACAGTCGGTACTAAAATATCTACGAAAACCGTATAGGTATTTACCCGTAACCTTAACGGTTTGAAAAATACTCTATAATCGTGCTTTCGGACTTTAAAACATACAGATTGAAAAAACATTCTGTAGAAAATACAAATACTAGCGAATTTAGATGAAAAACATAACGTTAAAAATATTTTACCACAAAATCCTAATGATTGATTGGGCACGTTAAATTTTGAATCGAATTTTTCGGTTGACGTTCGTCGTGTGCGTCTCGAACGAAAAAAATGAAAACGGAAATCAGTCGGTTCTCAACGTAAACGATTACGACGTCTGCGACCGATTTTTATTTTGCGAATAACACAAAAAATCCCGAAACGAGACGGGACTCACGAAGGAGTTGAAAACGTCCGACCGCCGAGCGTCACCGACGCACACAGTCGGTTCGTCTTCTTCGGGTGTAGCGGAAAAGGCTGAGAATATTATACGCGCGAGTGCCGCGTGGAAAAATCGCGAGCAAACCGATCAACGCGATCGGTACCGCCGTACGGTGCAGACGAGGGCCAAGGGCAGAAAACACGAAAAAATAATAAAAATAATAAAACAAAACGAACAGCAAACGTGGCCGGGTAGGAATTATAAAAAATAAACATTGAACTGAACCGTTATATTACTATGATTATTTTCAAACGTCTATAACGCAATATGATATCATCATGCAATGTGTACCTACTTGACGGTCGTCGGGTGCGAGTGTTTCTCGTCGGGCAAACAGCGTCCATGTACTGAACACATGCGAGACACGCCGCGCGCCAGCCGACCACGACCACCCGACGATTTGGCCGTGGAAGCGCAAGCGCCGGCCCAAAGCGGCACACCGCCTTCGAATCCGTCGCGCCGTGCCCGGTCAACAAGTCACCTAGCGCGCTCCCCCCTCACCCTCACAACGCTCCCACACCCCCGCCCCGAACGAATAGCCTCGGACTCTCTCCGCCCTCTTGGTCGTCTCGTCGTATGGACACCTAACGCCCATCCCCCCTAGGTCAACCCCCTAGGTGACACGTCGCGTTGCCCCCTCGCCGACAAGCCCCCCGTAACTTGTGTTAGGCGATCGTGACGACGAAGACGACAGAAGAACAATAAAAATTATATTAATAGCAGTACGATAATCTAACACTATTCGGTAACCTAACACATCAAATGAGCCAAACACATCGAATGGTTTCTATTTCGTCCGTTAATATTGGTAAAATCAGCCATGAGCCACGTGTCCGACGTACTCTTGTTGTACGAGATCGTCGTTGAAACAATAACGGATCGAGAGAGAGCTCGATTTATATGAAACACTTCTGTTTGGATCCAGGTAAATGTTTTTTCGGTGTTCTCGTGGTGATCAATGACCGCAATTGGTTTCAAATGTGCCACTTGCGGTTATACCGTTGATCGACGAGTTTGCAAAGTTCATCTTATTGACATAACGCGATATTTTTCAAACTACAATATTAACAACGGTACACACGATACAGTACATATTTTAGTATTTATGATTTTTTTTTAATTCCATATTAAAAATGTCATGCATTTTACGTTTTTTTTTTTCTATCAATGCTTTATTGTAAAAATATACCATTAGTTATTAGTGACTTTTATACAACTTATAAAACCAGACAAGGATTAGACACTTAAAAAATAAAGAATAACGCTTCTTTCTATAATCATCCTAAGCGGTGAGTAAAAAAATGGTTTGATTCCTCCGATCTGCATAATTCTTCTTTGTTATAACTTTGATCGAACAAGAAATGTTTAATACGTGACATTTTAATAAGACACGTTTGGTTATATTTATATTTTTAATAACAATTTTTGATATTAAGACATTCAATTATATTTAAATTGGCCAGTGTTAAAAGAAATAAATATTTAATATCAATAAAAAAAAATAAAAAAACTTAATTGAAAAATTAAGATATACCATTTATTAGGTTTTATATACAACAATAATCATCAAGTTACTAAATATTAGTCTAATAATATTATTATTAACTGATGAACGAAATGAGTATATGATGTTATGTCCAAAGTTATGTTAAGCACCTAAAATAGCGTTAGTAATGACTTATAATGGAACGAAATATTTGTTTCTCTTAAAAAATGTATTCATTCAGTTTAAGGTACTTATTTATTATTATTTCCATACTATCTTTAAACATGAACATAAATATTTTTTATCTTCATCATCTAAGAAATTTTAAATATAATGTGTTACAATTACACATACTCTATTTTAATTGTAACATTAACGTTGAAATCTCGTAATTCAATATAAATTTATTTATTTTAATTAATTAAAAGGTAAATTATTTTTACACTTACATTGTTGGTACGCCAAATTGTATAGTTTATAATATTTATTTGGAGTAAATAAATTAAATGTAAAATATCATAAAAGTCTTAAAAACGAATGTTATCACGAAACAGTATTACATTTATTATGTAGTATTCAGGACCCGAGGTCTAATATCGAAAGAATTTTTGACGTTATACGGAATTTTTAATTTATATAATAACTGTATATTATGTACAGCTATGTACGATGTTCATAGTATACTATGTACAGATACTCACACGTATGGTATACTAGTAATTTTAGTACTTATACGCTCGTATATAACCCTCCTCACTTCATCGTAGTACATTTGCAAAATGACCTTTTTCTATACTCTCGTCCTTTAATATGTAGTGATATATTATGCGTTTTAATATAATAAATAATCTAAAAACAAAAATTCATATGGTTTGGCTATTTGAACCATCGAAAGCCTTAACAACCACAAGATATAATTTATATTTAACTACAACGTTCCCCAATTCATCTAGTTTCGATCTTGTAGCCAACAACTTGTGAATATGATACACTTAAAAAATATTGTCATGTGTACAATTGAATGAACAATACTTGACATATTTACCTTTTCAAAACGAATATCATTGATGCAGCCCCGCGTAATACAAATTCAAAGTCTTTATGACCGTTTGGAAGTATATAGTTATGTTAATTGTTTTTTTTTTTTTTTTTTAACAAAAAGTGACCATGGTATTTAAACAAACTTTTTTTTCATAATTAATGCACTACCAATATTTTTTCTTGATAACTGTAATTGTGTACAAGTTTTAAATCTGTCACTAGTCGCGCGAATCCAATAATCTACCAGTATATTTATTAATACATGTTTTACGTCATCATCAGTAAGAAAGTTTTGTTACTCCGATTTGCTTATGGAAATCAAATCATAATTCGGTTATTACATTAACTTTAACAAAAACTATTTTAATATGTTCGATACACGTGTGTTGTATGTAAACAAATTCTCCCATTTGAAAAACATTTCACATTTGTTTTTATTATTTATTTCTAACTAAATTCTAATTATTTTAAACATGGATGAGATTGAGGGACGACGGACTAATTCTTCATTGAAGAAAATTATCAATTAAATGTTTCGAATGATGATAACGATGATAATATTCAAACATATGAGCCGTATCAATGTCAAGTGCAAGTCCTATTGGTAATATTTCGAATGAATTAAATTCAAAATATTCGTATCAGAAATCCGATGATAATTTACCTGTATCTGTGAGTCGTTCATTTTTAACCAGAAAATATTATTCAAAATGGAACAGCAGGTCGAAAATTCTCGTAAAAAAATCGCAAATTATATAAGTTACATACAAATCAGAAGTTAAGATTATTGTAAAAAATTCAAAAACAAGTCTTTGGAATTATTTTCTTCAAATGAAAATTTTTTTCATTTTTATTCATAAATTATAAGTTATTTTAAGTTGCAAAATAAAAAAAAGGTATAATTTTTAAAATATTTCATGTCATGGAAAATTTTTGCCCTAGGCGAATAAATTAAAAAAAACAAAAAATATAATAATAAAAACATGTAGCCAGTGACAGGTTGAACGACAACCTTTATAATTATTTATATTTGAGTCCAGTTAATGCGAACACGATTTTAAAATTGAAAAGAAATTGTATCTATTGGAGGATATCATAAGTGAGATATTTAGTAACGTAACGAATTTATTATTCCTTTGCAACTGTTTTTATTTTTATGTGAACTTTCTTGGGTATAATACAAGTAATGCATAACGAGAAAAGGCCAGTCGCAAAAAGCGTTAATTATAGACGGAAATGGCAGATGTTATGCTTTGTTCTTGCCAACGTATTCTCGGGAGACTACCTCCTCGTTGGACTATAAACGTAATACAAACTTGTTTTATATGACGTTACTAGAAAAGGGTTACCAAAACCACTCAGACAGTTTCACCGGATTCGAAGTCACAGATTCATTTTCACAATTTAATGTCTATTTTTTTCTTCCTCTTAATGAAATATTTAATGTCACAAAAATATCATTACTTATATATACCAGCATCCGCATAATCGAAACTTTCTTACTTCGTAAAATTCTCTATGGAATTAATATCAAAAAAGTTTTTTAAAAAAACAATAGTTTGTCCATTTTAACGTTCACCAATGGAGTGAATGTGAGAGTACATTAAAATGCAACATCCCAATTCAATAGCTTGGTCTAATGAAATCAATTTTTTTTTAATATGTTATTAGAAAAAACTAATAAAGAAATTAGAAATTCATTCTCTACTATATTGAGATAAATATTTATGATTTTTGTTTTATAAAATTATTTTAAAGAACGGCGTCTTGTATATGTAATTTCAGTACACTGGTGTATAGAAAATCACTATAAATTAAGTAATTTAAATCAACTTAGAAAAAAAAAATGGCTATTGGCTAAAATTTAATATAATAATAATACTAATTTGTATTCATCATTTTTAACTTTGTTAATATGTTCTCGTTTTCTTTGTTAATAATATGAACACGAAATATTATATTTTTGCTGCAAATGTTTACTTATCAATAATTCAAAAAATAAATATACTCATGTATTAAATATGTTTTACGTAAATTCAATTTTAGTAGATAGTAATATTTCTCTAATAAAACGAAAAAATAAAATAAAAAAAGAAAAAAATAACTACTGCAGGTTGCCATAGAACCAAATAAGGGTAATCTGGCAAATGCGCGTGACAAGGATATAAGGATTATATATACTGCGTGTTTGTCTGTGTTAACAGAAATTCAATACTGGGTAAGTTAATGATTTTTATTATTTTTTATTTGAGTTAAGTTAATACACATTTATAAGAAAAGTAAAAAATGCATTTAATTTTTGGATAATTTATTTAAATAAAATTTAATAATCAATTTCTTTAAGCTTTTTATTTAAAAAATGTTTATTTTTTTTTTTTAGAATACAAGTCTACTTTAATTTTGATCAACCAAAACAAAACTATAATATTAATGTAGTAATTTCTGAGTTAATATTTTCAATAAGTTATTTCTAACTATTTTCAATTCACACCAAACCGGTTCAATTTTGTAATACGAATACGAAATCAATCGAAATGCAATAAAATAATATTAAAAATAAAATAAATTAACTTTTTAAAATGAAAATTTAATTCGTTGATCTCGCGTTAGTAAAAAATAAATTAAAAACAATTAAATTAAATTAATCGTTAAAAAAAAAAATAGAAATCCAAAAGTAAATAGTTACGTTTAAGATTTAAAACCAAATAAATTTTTTAACTTTCTGATTCCCAGCCTTGCAAAAGTATTCTCGAAATGTTCGTATAACACCGTACTGTATTATTATTTTCAATTGCACACGCTATATTGTATGGGTACGCAGTGTGCATGTGCTTTTGTGTCTATGGAAATCATCGAATAATTGTGTACGCGCATAAATTATGTACATA